CGTTGGACGCTTCGCAAAGCGACAGCGAACGACGATGTCGCCCCCGACCAACGCCCCGACGCTCCGACTTCGGATAGGCCTAACACCGTCACCGAACCCTGCGACAGTGGTTGTGAAATAGCCGCTGCCGTGGAATTCGTCAGTGCATCCCAAAGGAAGATTGGATTCTTCGAGAGTGAACGTAGATCGGTAGATGCTGCTACTGCGAACATGCTGCTTTGCGAACATGCTGCTTTGCGAAATCGATGCACTGACGGCACTTGTGGCGGGTGCGCAATGCCCAACCTGCCGCGAACGGAAGCTCGGCGTGCGAGAGGCAGCTGGAAAGCGCAAAGGACTTTCGGCATTCCTCGAACTGTGCTTTCAAAATTCTGATTGCCCTGAATCTGCACTTTCGTTCACGCACACGTCGAGACGTACTGCTTCGGCCGGGGACCAAGGAACGAGCGCTCGTTTTGACACCGGCAGCTCGCGTGACAGCTTTGTTGTAAACGTGAAGGCAGTTCTGGCAGCACGCGCTATAGGCGCAGGCCACGACCAACTTTCACGATTTTGTGCGATTCTCGGTCTTCCGAGCCCGATGCATCACAAGACATTCAACGGCATTTGCAAGAAGCTCCATGGTGCGGCGATGACGGCAGTGAGCAAAAACTTGCACCAGGCACGAAACATCACGAAGGACGCAGTCGGCGGCAGAGATGTGCCAGTCATGTTTGATGGCACCTGGCAGAAAAGAGGTCATAAAAGCCACAATGGAGTGGGCACAGTCGTGTCCCTGGACGGGGCTCTGCCTCGATTTTGAAGTTCTTTCGAACTACTGCCATGCTTGCAGTATACACAGGGACCTTGGGGAAGATGAAGAGATATGGCGAGCCTTTCATCTTCCAGTTTGCCAAAAAAACACTGACTGCTCATCCCATGCAATGGAACCTGCGGCAGCTGTCAATATATGGCAAAGGACCTTGTCTTATGAAACTCCACTGCGATTCACCAGCTTCCTAAGTGATGGTGACAGCAAGGCCTACACTGCAGTCTGCGAGGCAAATGTATACTGTGACACCCCCATTGACAAAGAAGAGTGCACGAACCACGTTGCAAAGCGCTTGGGAACTGCCCTACGGAAATTGGCAACGCCACTGCCACAAGGCGAAAAACTGAAAGATGCGACAATAATAAAACTACAAACATATTACAAGATCGCCATCACGAGCAACAAGGACAGTGTCCGAAATATGTACACTGCCATATGGGCATCGTATTTTCATTGCTGCTCCAGTGATGGTGCCAGTAGCCACAACTTTTGCCCCGCGGGACCAAATTCGTGGTGCAAGCACAAGCGTGCGGAAGCACTGGGGGAGCCTGCACCACGCCACACCCCACTGTTGACGAAGGCTCAAGGATTGGCAATTATGCCTATCTACAAGCGCCTTACAGAGGAGAAACTCCTTATTCGGTGCCTTCATGGCAAGACACAGAATGCAGCCGAATCGCTGAACAGCAAGATATGGCTGCTATGTCCAAAAACAAAGTTCGCCTCCAGAACAACTGTGGAGACAGCCACCGCTCTTGCTGTACTCTGGTACAACAAATGCCACAGTGGCTTTGAAGAAGTGCTCGAAGGCATTGGAATTCTCCCCTCACAAGATCTGGCCACACATGGTGACCACTGTGACGTCATGCGCATCAGGAAGATGAACCTGAAGCAAACTGCAGAAGCGAGGGCACACCGTCGCAACACAGCGAAGAGAGCTCGTGTTGAGGACACTGACCGCAAGAGCCGTGAAGGACCAAGCTATGGTGCAGGGGACTTCTAGACACTTGCAGTGCATTCAAGGCAAGGTACTTTTCATTGTGCCCCAATTTGATGCAAAAAGAATGATATCCTAATAAATGCCAACTTTGCGAACTTTCAAACTTGTTTTTCTCATTTTCATTTTTTCTGACAGTTTCACGTTTTCCGGGCAGCCTTTTAGAAACTTATATTCATTGTATAGTAACGAAACTTGGCACACATATTCTTCAACACTTGCAGAATGCAAATACCTACTCTAAATTGCAATGCCTACCAGCATTAGTTGTGAAAACATTAGCTTATTGTTTCAAGGGAGATTGAAAATAATAAGTCATTCAATACAATTTTTTTTTCTTGGTTCCAATATTTCTGTGACATATCTATATAGATATTTGCACTTTTCAATCTACCAAGAGTCAAATAAGATCAGACACAGTGCTTTTACTGAAAGTTTAGTACATAAAAGAGTGCCCGCAAAAAATGTTAACTTTTTGCTATTGTTTATGTTTGGCATAACTCAATAATTATAGCAGCTACACAAAAAATGATTGCATATTTGAAATCTGCATGAAAAACTATACTAATAACAAACTTTTCAAGTCTCTATTACTAGAAATAAAAAAAAAACTTTTTCGAGGAGCGTCTCTCCCCTTAAATTGCGGCTTGAGAGACTTTGGGCTTTCACTTGTTCTTGGGCCACGCAATTCGTAGTGAAAGCGAAAAGTGAAACGTGTCTTCACAGAGGTAGCTGAGCGTTTATTGTGCATTGTTTCACTTACAGCAACGAATTGTAAGGTCAGGGTAAAAATGGCACGCAGCTCGAAACCTGAAGTGCACACCTCAAGCAGAAAGCACGCACGAAATGAGCATACAAAGGACTAGCGCGAACTAACAACAGTCACAGATCGACACTTAAAGTGCGCTCTTCGTACAGAAAGACGCATAAAATGAGATACACCAGACAAGCGCAAACAAATGTCACAATTATTACTCCGTTGTGTGTCAGCAGTGTGCTCGTTTCGTAAATGCGGCTGCGGCAGTAAGCAAAGTGATTTTTGTTCTTTCTGGAATTATGAGTCTGATAAGCGCACGCAGAAGAGAGCACGCTCCGTGGAGACAGCACCTGGTATAGACGATCACTTTTAGAGCATGCCCAACGCAAGCCCGTTGCACCATCTCACTTTTGATAACGAAAATGCACTAAAGTTTCGAAGCCTTGAGGACCATGAAACAGTGTATGGTGTATATAAATGGCTAACCATTAGCATTCCCGACAATGTATGTTTTGTGGCATAGTGGTTAGCGCCGCGTGCTGCGAATCCAGAGGTTGCTGGTTCGATTCTGCGCAATAGATGCTTGCCTTCTCTCTATTTTTTTTTTATCAAATGGAACATATTTTACAATGTCATATCCGTGACGGAAATACGTCAGTGGAGTCGTAGTGCACCCCGGCATAAAACACTTTCGTGTTCAGTTACTGAAAAAGTGTACTAGTGTACTTGTGTCTCTTGTAAAACCAAGCAATGCTTCATTGCATGGCAAGAGCAATGAAGTAGCACCTCTGTCCTGCTTTTTTTGTCTATGTGAATAGATACATTTTGTACAACATCCATTATTTTTCTACGGGTAACTTATCTTGAAAATGCATATTCAATATTTTTTTTCTTTTGAATTTTTTTGCATTTATAGTGTTTTTTACTGCACTGTTGACTAGCTGACAATAAAAAATTACACACTTGTCCATTTTAATTCATTCCAATATATTTTTGTTGTTGTACAACATATAATTTTTTAAAAGAGCATTTCATTATGCAAAATTTCGTATGCTGCGGTGCAGGCTGGAGTACTTTTCAAACTGTTAAAATCGATCTTCCCGAGACGTATAAAATATAAGCATTTTCGCACGGTAACGAAAGAGTCAACACAAGCACTGCGGTCTGGGTCACTGATGGTTCACAGCCTGTGCTCCTCCTATGCGGTTGTGATGTTAGGAGCATGCATCTGCTTACTGATATGATAACTTTATCAAACATGAATGCAGAGATACGATTTTTGTTTCAAGAGATTATAAATAATCAGGAGAAATTTTTTCTGTTGTTAGATGCCATGACCCACCAGTAGGTCACTTCGCGCATCAAACGAGACCTTTAAAAAGCTTGCTGCAGTGCACCTTACAAATGGAGCAAGTGTCACTATTGTGATCGATTTTGTACTTGGAGTTCTGTACCCTTGCTTATCTTTCAGTAAATGGAACCCTTGTTACATGGAACATATTTTTCTGGTCTTTACATTGAATGAGAAATCGTATAAATACACGTAGAACATGTCTATACTAGGCTTGTGCGAATAGTGAATTTTCGGGTCGAAGCAAGTTCGAAGCGAATAGTGATTTTGGTTGAATAATTTCGAATCGAGTTCAATAGTATATATATCGCTCATTATCAAAAAGGGGTGGGGGGCATATTTGTCATGACCAAAATAACCTGCACAATATATATTTTTTTAATTGAGACAAGGCCTGTGCAAAGGCCTTTTTTTTTTCATCAAAGAAAGTGGTAACTACTTTGAATAGTAGCAGGATTTGACTTACGGTACAGTCCTAGTGATAGCCAGTAATATATGCTATGTTTTAAAATTTGCTATACTTAGAGCATATAAGTTGGTGCAACAAGCTTTTAAACTAAAAAATAATATAAACAAAAAAACAGAAACCTTGAAATGGGGCATCGCTGCAGTGTGGATTTCTCCTGAATATGCTTTGGCTGCTTAGCATCACTACACTGCAATGAAACCACATTTACATGCAGACTAGTAAGCTTGGATAGGTGCTTTCACGGCTTAGCACCCTTTCACTGCTGTGAAACCACCCACAGATCATTACAAGTGGAAATAATATGCACCTATTCGTTTGTTTCGAATAATTTGAAATTTTCAATAACTTAAATTCGATTCGAAGCGAACTCACGCAAGCCAAGTCTATCCTTTGCATGTAATTTACAGAAGACGTTAAAACTGTTCGATGTTAACAATAATTTATTATATATCTACTCAACCGTAGTAGTAAAAACCTACAATATAGCTAGAGGTGCACCTTGAAATGTGATACTTGAGAGAGATAAAAAAATTTTTGCTTCTGAAAATTGGGTATTAACTGCTGCAATCGCATGGTAAGCTTTGTGTCAATGTAAATATTTATTCTATATTGCAGGTGTGTGGTGCGATTGTTTTTGATGGGCATCAGTTCCCAAAGCCCCATTGTGTTGGAGAGCATCACACTGCCTTGTCTCAAAATACTTCAAGCAATTATAAAACCAGACCCACCCACCACTAAACGCAACAAGGACAAGTCAATTGAGGAACTGGCTACTGTGCGGCCTTCAGGTAAGTGAGAAGTACTACTCTTTTGAACCTTGAGAACCTGCCTAAAACAAACCTTCATATAATGAATTGATATTACGAAGTTTTTCTATTTCCTGCTGTTACTCCATAGCACATGTATTTGCGACCTCTATGTAACAAAATGGCGGGAGACACCCTTGATGCAACGAAATTTCACCATGGATAACCTAGGAATTTAACCCCCAATTTTGTCAATTAGGCACGAGCATGCATCTTCCACGGTTTTCCCTTACACTGATGAAGCGCGAAGCAGTGGCAGCAATACGATAGCGAGCGCTCGATATTGCATGCAGGTGTGCGCAAGGTGAGCAGACAAGCCTGCGGCGCCCTTTGAGACGGTGTTGTGACTGTTCTTGCCCTTGCGCGCGCATGTGCAAATGTGTTCTCTTCTTCCCTTCACACCAAAAACAAAAAAAAAAAAGCTTTTGCATTGGTAGTTTCACTCTTTGATAGCTGCAGAAGTCTCTGAACTGCAGTTTGTTAAATTGGCACTAGGTGATGCCACAAAAAAAAACTTGCTTTGCGTCGTTACACTTCAGGTTCACGTCATATATGTGGGGCTGTACTGCATATGGAAAGCACTTTACAAAATAATATTACATGATGTCGGTGTCGTTTGCTCTTCATTTTCAACGCCGTGCTCGCGTTTGCGTCTTTTCACTCCACTTGCATGCAGTGGCCCATGACGACTTTCAGCTTTGAATTCTTGAAATTTTTTTTTTTGATGTGGACAAAATAAAAAAAAGCGCCTAATCTAATGTCCTGTCACTACCAAGGAAATTTCAGATTAGGCGCTGGTCGAAACTGTCCAAGACCATGGTGACAGTAATGTCACACACTACGCCATATTGCACTGTGCCACGAGTTCGTTAGCCTTTGGGATGATCGCCCGACAAAATATTGTAATGTTATACAAAGTAAGGCTGGCAGACGACTCTTTTGGATCTGATATCATGTAACTCTCCAAAATGCTGGTGTTAGAAAATACGGCTGCTTTAGAGAGTTCTCTTTCACACAGTCTCTTCACATTAAGAGAACTTCGATGCTCTCAGAGATAGCACGCGCGCCACGATCACAACAGTTCCGTAAAAATAAATGATCATCATTGTTGCTACTCAAGTGACCCCCCTCCACCCTCACGTTTTTTCATGCTCTTTCAAGACAGGTGGAGTGTTTCTTCCCTGCTTGAGCATTTGACAGCAGGCTTAACACAGGGGGGGGGGGGGGGGCACAGTGTTATCGCATGTGCCCTCCAATCATAGAGACCATGGTGGCGATAGCGAAAACCTTTCGAGAGTGACCATGTATAGTATAGATCGCTTTATAACGTAAGTCGCAACAGTCAGGAATATCTTCACTAAACGTGGTACTGCACTATAACCAAAACAACCTCTTTCAAGAGTCGCAGTTGCACAAATTATGTTGAGTATGCAGCCTCATGTGTCCAAGAATCAAAGCATGCGATGCGTGGTGCTTACAACCATTTAAATACCCGAACGGTAAAAAAATGACAGCATTTCCATGGAGTGAATGATAATGAGTGAGGCGAAGCGTCTGTCTGTGGATATGCTGTGCTGGGTACACCAGAGTAATAGACTGCCTTAGATCATAAAGAGCATCGCCTCTAAAAATTCAGCGTCCAAGGACCTGCATTGGCAACGAAATTAACACAAAGCGGGGAGGGCTCTAACAAAAGAAAGCACTATTGCAGAAATTCACGTGGTTCTCAGACTGCTTCGAATATGTGCATTAAAGGGGGACACTGTACTTGAGATGAAGTGCCAGGTATTTTCATGTGTTTATAAAGAAAATTCACAGTGTGATTGAGTTTTTGATGCTGATTTCAAAAATGTAATTACTGTTCCTTTAAACCAATTAGTTTTTGAGATATCCTAAAATAATTACCTTTTGTTTGTCGGTAAATTTCAAGAGAAATTTGTATTGCAGAGCTACTATTGGCGCATGCCTGTGTACTAATGAATATAAGCTACACCACGGTAGGAGTGTTTTTTTTTTGTAATTTATAATTTTAGCAAGGTTTGTCGCACCTTGCATTTCAGTGTTGGAGACACACCCACTTTATGCTCCAATTTCTGGCAAAAAATGAAACTTTTTGAAGATCTCAATCAAAAAGTCACACCTACCATTGTGTAAACTAAAGATACAGCTACATATCACAATAAAAATGGCAGCTCTAGCTGCTCTGGAGGCAGAGATACCTTTTAGACAAGTTTGCAACTGCAGCAAAATTTGAATCCTGAGAAATCATCCAAAAACACAAGTTCATTTTGGGCAGACAGTAGCATGGAAAAGCTGTTTATTTACAATGATTTGCAAATTCAGCTTTCTCAGTAGGTACCAGGCTTGTAATCCTTATGTTTTGCATCACCTAAATGGCGTTTTTTCAATGCCCGCTGCATTTTTTCCGCAGAGGCACACTTGCGAGCTGATACGGTCGCCTCGGGATCGTCTGCTGACTAGGCCGCTTACCAGTTAGGCGACGCCTATGTGCGACGAATGTGCGCACGTAATCCGTGATCCGTCGTATAATAAAGCGCTTTTCCGGCTTGTCTAGATTGAGCTGTTGATGTCGCAGACCGAACTCGTGCACTCGCTCATCAATTTCAGGGCTCTAAGAGCAGCGAGGTGTTAGTTTTCTTTTCATGTAAGATTGCCACACTTTCGAGTGGAGGCCGTGGCGCAATATGTTCATCGTTGCGGATGCGTTGTTACAAGCACTTTACCTGTTGCCAGTAGCCTTCATTGCGCGGTCGGCGAGTACGTTCACCTTAAACGGATTGATTTTCTGTTTGCCGACGCGGGGCGAACTCCACTCTGACGACCCGTCACGCACTTCATGTCAGATGAGGGGAACTCGCGGCATCGGCGCGTTTAGCGATAAAACTGCACTTCCGTTTCGTCATTGCAAAGATTGCTATCTCTCGTAGCTACACTTCTGCTTTTTACTTGCCGTCCTCTAACTGTTGAAGCTCCAAAACACTGCCGCTTTCAGCGACGTTGTCGACAACCGACGGGCTCGTACGTGAGTTGGGCCTTCACGGGTGACTCAGCGACCGCCGTTGAACGGCGCGAGTTTGCTATCCTCCCTGTCCTGAGTGATAGCAGGGCTCTTTCTGAAGTTCACAGTGAACGAACGATCGCCACGCCTGCTTCACGAATTAGTGCGGCGAGGAACTTTTTTACTGCGGCAGGCAATTGACAGCACCATGACAAAATGGCACATGTCTGTGCGCGTCACGATGAAAAAGCAGACGCCGGAAACGCCACTTGACCAATCGGGTGTCTAAGTTTTGTCATGTGCCCCAAGCAGTCAATAGAATCGCCTGGTGGTGCTTCTCGATGACGCGTTTTTGCTGAAAAACCAATAATCAAAGTGAGCCAAATGTGGCGGGAAATTGAAGATGGAAGAACGACCCTTTCAAACAAGACCAAGATGACCACGATAGCTCGTTTGTAACGGCAACGGTTCGGCATGGAAAAAGCGCGACTTTAGTGTCTATTTGTTCTCAGATTCTTCTCACAGGGGTGTTATAAATTGATTTTGTGCCAGAAATAATGATGCGAGAAGCTTGAAACTTCTCATATAAGTGCAAAAATAGTTGCAGATTCCGAAAATGTCAACTTCAAAAAGTCTGTTTTTTCGTGGTTTTTGGCCTTTTAAGACCCGTGTCCCCCCTTAAACAGAAACTGTCAAATTACATCTGGAAATGCTTGCTGAAACACCTGTAGTGAAGAGGAATGCCCACTACTGCAGCGACATCGATTGTTGGCGCGAGGCACGAGCCAAGACTGCCTGGTTGCTGCTGCGACGCTGCCCGTCCACCCGGCCAGCTCTTGCTGCTTCTGTACCGACGCTGATACCGCTTTTGACCTTGCGTTTACATTATATTTTGGTGGAGAGTGCTGCGGTCTTCCCTAGTCCTGGAACTGCGTAGCCGAAAGCTGCCGTCCGTTATGCTTGACGACGCTGTCTTCACACTCCCATTGGCTTCGCCATGCAGGAGCTGTCCCGGTGCCCAGCTCTTGCGAGAACCGACGTCTTCAGCGGCACCGACGAAGAAGACATTGAGGATTGGCTGGAATCTTATGAACGAGCCAGCGCTACTAACAAATGGGACGATCCCACAAAGCTTGGTACCGTGATATTTTATTTAACGGATGTTGCCAAGCTGTGGTACAGGAACCATGAGGCAGATATCCCCACTTGGACGACCTTCAAAACCTGCATCGCAGATGTTTTTGGACGCCCCGGTGTGCGCGAAATTCGCGCTGAACAACGCCTACGAGGCCGGTCCCAACAAACTGGTGAGACATTCACCAGCTACATAGAGGACATCCTCGACCTCTGCCGGCGTGTTGACCCGACAATGGCAGAAACTGACAAGGTACGACATATCATGAGGAAATTTCCGACGACGCCTTTCAAATGCTGCTCTCGAAGAACCCTGTCTCACTGTCTCTGAGGTCATCGAGTTGTGTCAGCGTTTCGACGAGCTGCGACGACAGCGTCTTCTCACGCGACGCCCTAACGTCTCGGATGACAACCTCTCATGCCTGAACACCACATCTGACCTTCAGTCGCTGTCGCAGATCAAGAAGTTTGTTCGTGCCGAGGTCGCTCGTCAGCTATCGCTGCTATCAACAGCCGACCAACCACCGTAACCTCTGCCAGCAAACATTAGCCAGGTAATCCAGCAGCAAGTTTGCGCGGCTCTGCCATCTGCCCATGACACTTCACTATTGCCAAGCCCTGTTGCCTGTGCCAAGGTAAATGCACCTCTAAGCTATGCTGAAGTGGCGGCTAGACCACCTCTTTAGACTTTTACGTCGCTACCTTCAGCCGTGCCGCTGCGACCCACTCCTCGGTTCACTCAGCCAAGGTCCGTCCAGAGTAGCGGACAATGGCGTACACTCGACAATCGCCCAATATGCTTTGCCTGTGGGCTACCTGGCCACATAGC